TCTTTCACCCTCATTAAGAGGTTCTTTAATTCCACTTTCTGCCATCAGACTGGTATCATCTGCATGTCTAAGGTTGTTGATATTTCTTCCAGCAATCTTGATTCCGGCTTGGGATTCATCTAGTCTGGCCTTTCGCTTGATGTATTCTGCATATAAGCAGGGAGACAATATACAGCCTTGTTGTACTCCTTTCCCAATTTTGAACCAATCAATTGTTCCATATCCAGTTCTAACTGTTGCTTCCTGTCCCACATACAGATTTTTCAGGAGATAGATAGGGTGGTCAGGCACTCCCATTTTTTAAAGAAATTGCCATAGTTTGTTGTGGTCCACACAGTCAAAGGCTTTTGCATAGTCAAAATCCAGCTTGTACTTCTGGGAGTTCTCAGTCCCCATACTGCTGAAGCCTACCTTGTAGGATTTTAAGCATAACCTTGGTACCACATGAAATGAATGCAACTGTATTGCAGTTGGAGCATTCTTTGGCACTGCCCTTCTTTGGTATTGGGACGTAGACTGACCTTTTCCAGTCCTCTGGCCACTGTTGAGTTTTCCAAACTTGTTGGCATATTGAATGTAGCACCTTAACAGCATCATCTTTTAAGATTTTAAATAGTTCAACTGGAATGCCATCATCTCCACTGGCCTTGTTGTCAGCCATGCTTTTTAAGGCCCACTTGAATTCTGTGTTGTACTGATACTGAATTTAATTCATCAGACATCTATCAGTACTAAGATTTTAAATAATTCAACTGGAATGCCATCACCTCCACTGGCCTTGTTGTTAGCCATGCTTTCCAAGGCCCACTTGACTTAACTTTCCAGGATATCTGGCTTAAGGTCAGCAATCACACTGACTGTCAGGGACATCCAGATCTTTCTGATATAATTCCTCTGTATATTCTTGCCACCTCTTCTTGATGCTTCTTTTAGGTCCCTCCCATTTTTCTCCTTTATCATGTCCATCTTTGCACAAAATGTTCCTCTAATATCTCCAATTTTCCTGAACAGATCTCTGGTTTTTCCTTTTCTATTATTTTCCTCTATTTCTGTACATTGTTCATTTAAGAAAGCCCTCTTGTCTCTCCTTGCTATTCTTTGGAAGTCTGCATTCAATTTTCCCTATCTCCCTTGCATTTTGTTTCCTTTCTCCTTTCTGCTATTTCTAAGGCCTCGTTGGACAGCCACTTTGCTTTCTTGCATTTCCTTTTCTTTGGGATGGTTTTTGTTGCTGCCTCCTGTACAATGTTACTAGCCTCTATCCAAAGTTCTTCAGGCACTCTGTCCACCAAATCTAGTTCCTTAAATCTCTTCTTCACTTCCACTGTGTATTCATAAGGGATGTGGTTTAAATTATACCTGACTAGCCCAGTGGGTTTTCCTACTTTCTTCAGTTTAAGCTTGAATTTTGCTATGAGAAGCTGATGATCAGAGCCACAATCAGCTCCAGGTCTTGTTTTTGCTGACTGTATAGAGCTTCTCCATCTTTGGCTGCAGAGAATATAATCAATCTGATTTCAGTATTGCCCATCTGGTGATGTCCACGTGTAGAGTCATCTCTTCTGTTGAAGGAAAAGGGTGTTTGTGATGACCAGCTCGTTCTCTTGACAAAACTCTATTAGCCTTTGCCCTGCTTCGTTTTGAACTCCAGGGACAAAATTACCTGTTGTTCCTTTTAACTCTTGATTCCCTACTTTTGCATCCTAGTCTCCATCTTTCTTTGGTGTCAGTTCTAGAAGGTGTTGTAAACTTTTATAGAATTGGTTAATTTCGACCTCTTTAACAACGGTGGTTGGTGCATCAACTTAGATTACTGTGATGCTGAAAGGTCTGCCTTGGATTCATATTGAAATCATTCCATCATTTTTGAGATTGTATCCCAGTACAGCTTTTCCACTCTTTTGTTGACTATGGGGCTACTCCGTGTCAGTTCTAGAAGGTGTTGTAAACTTTTATAGAATTGGTTAATTTCGACCTCTTTAACAACGGTGGTTGGTGCATCAACTTAGATTACTGTGATGCTGAAAGGTCTGCCTTGGATTCATATTGAAATCATTCCATCATTTTTGAGATTGTATCCCAGTACAGCTTTTCCACTCTTTTGTTGACTATGGGGCTACTCCATTTCTTCTATGGGATTCTGAATTGAATTCGCCCATTCCCGTCCATTTTAGTTCACTGATACCGAGGATGTCAATGTTTATTCTTGCCATCTCCTGTTTTCCATATCTAGCTTACCAGTGTTCATAGAACTTACATTTGAGGTTCCTATGCAGCATTTTTCTTTGCAGCATCGGACTTTCCTTTCACTTCCACGCACGTCTGCAGCTGACCCTCCTTTCGGCTTCAGTCCAACCACTTAATTAGCTCTGGGGCTACTTGTACTTGTCCTCTGCTCTTCCTCAGTAGCATGTTGGACGCCTTCCTACCTGAGGGTCTCATCTTCCATCATCATATCTTTTAGCCTTTTGTTTCTGTCCACGGAGTTTTCTTGGCAAAGATACTGGAGTGGCTTGCCAGTTCCTGCTCGAGGTGGGTCACATTTGGTCAGAACTTTCCACTATGACCTGCCCGTCTTGGGTGTCACTGCAGGGCATAGCCCATAGGTTCTCTGAATTACTCAAGGGGTTTCCCTAAGACCACATAGTAATATATAAACAGGGAACTGTGCAGTCTTTTAACTACTGTGTTATATTGTCTTTCTAGAAATCTATGTTCTCAATATCCTGCTTTGGCAGGGGACTGGTCTAGATAACCTTTGAGTTCCTTTCCAGCTGTCTGGTTCTATAGTTCTATGATTATATACTAGCTACTGAACTGCAAATCCAATACAAAATGGTTTACATGACAAAATCAACATTTTGTCTGAAAAGGATGAGATGTGCAAAATAATCATTCACATCATACCTTGATACAGATATCACAACTTCCACCCCGTTCCACTCTAATATTGTCATATTTATTTTTCTGAACCAAACATTCCTATAATTATTTAGACTTTAAAAACTGAAATGTTACTTACAAGTATAATTAGGGTTAGAATAATTATTTACAATAAAGACAGGATGCCAAACAGAATGAGAATAAAGATATTTGAATAGGAGACAGTATTATCTGTATCTGCCAGTTATCAGTTTTCAAGCCATTTTTACGAAGTCAGAAAAAGGGCTTAGTCAGAATATCATACCACAGTATTCTGAAGAAGTCTAGCTTATATTGAATGAGCTGACGGACTTTGCTTATTCTTGAAAGTTTGAGTGCTTAAAGAAATTGTGCAGCTTGCATGTGTTATCTGCTTAATATTATCATTACATTGAACTGGGCATGCTAGGTTGTATCTTTCTTAACAGGCCACAGATCAGAGTTCCTCATTCATATACAACAATAAACTAACTGCTGATGAAAGGCCCATGGTTTGTTTAGCTGTTTTACTTGCAACAAGAACTATCACGGAGTGTCCACTGAAATCTTGGCCTGTTGTGTTCAAACCAGGCTAAGGTATACAGATTGGTTACTTTTTTGTGACTCACCGGATTTCAAATACAGTATGTCTTCAGCGTTGAAGCTTTTGAATACCGTCTTCCCACTGACCATATAGTAATGGCCCTGCGAAAAGACTACACCAGTACAAGTAGTTCGCTCAAAGATGCATTCTTCCTGAGCAGACTGTAACGTATAGAAAGTGTTGGGCAATGCCTGTTGTCTTTGTGGTATTATGTGACCTTTGTACTCCTGGAATATGTTCAGATCTGTACAGAGAGAAGAATCAGAAATCATCTGTTCAAAGATGCAGCATTAAGAAGATACATGTTCAGCTCAGTCTAGGACATCAAGTATATGACAAAGACATTCATAAGTGCTGTGCACTAATGGGATGGTAAACAAACAAACAAACAAACAAACACCTCTTCAGCCAGATTCTAGTCATGCCACCTAGCACCTGTTTAGTCCATCAGATGGCTTGGATTCTAAGCTTTCATTAAAACAGAAAACTGAGTTCCTAAGGTTATAAATTGGAAATATAAAGGCAAGTCAGTGTTGACCAATTACTTTGCAAGAAAGAATCCTTTCCATGTAATTAAACAGTGTGTTGAACCATGTAAAATTTGACAGGATTTCACAGAGATAGTATAGACAGAATATTCTATAAATGATGCAATTGTGGGAATGTTTGGTCTCAACATGGTTCGCAAACAGCTGACATCTGCTTCCAAGGCTGCCTGCAGACAGTGCATGGAAAGCAATGAAGCCATAAGAATGACTGCTGGCTGGGGAATTACGAGAGGTGCAGTAAAAACAAACACTTTCCCAAGCTTTGATATTATGAATATGACTCCAATTCCTGCTTTGGTAGAGTTGGACTCGATGACCTAAATGACTTTTCCAGTCCTACAGTTCTGTTAAGTCTATGAGATTATGACTCTATGACCTTCCAGAAAGATGACTAATTACTAAAACCTCCTGCTTGTTATCAGTATTATTGATAAAGAAATTGTAATGGTCTTTTTGATGAACCGATTCTACATTTGTCTTGGTATGGCTCTTTGGACTACTTCCTCAGATAATATACCCTACTAAATTGAGAGGTCTTCTGCCTCAGTAAATGCACATAGGAGACAATAGCTGTGTATCTCAACTTATTAGGAAGAGATATGGGCAAGGCTACCTTCTTGGACTACAACTCTCAGAATCAGCATGGCCAGTGCATTCCAGAAGATGTAGCTCTGCTATGAATCTCATTCTCTGTCTCAATATAGCTCACAGCAGCGATTGGTATAGAAAAGGGGTGGCACATTAGTTTGATTCTTGCTTTACTGTATTTTCCATGTATATAGGAAAAATCCAGTATCACTCATGAGGGATGCCTGTGGTGTTCTTATGGAACTGTTTGAGTGGGGTTGCCATCAGTAAAAACTGATGGTTAAAAACATTATTTCTTTAATGACGTGTTTCTGTGCCATCAGATGTGAGTGCAGTATAAAGGAGATTATCAACTATATCAACATTTTGGGGTAGATAACTCACTTTCATACTTTCAAAATGCATGTTGGGATTGTTTTTAGAATGCTCCAGTATTAGGTGAATATACTTCTGGTTTTCAGAAGGAAAAGCACTTAGGGTTGCTCACTTAAGGTAGCCCCTTTTCTCTGAATGTACAGTACTGTGTACAGCACTAAGAAGTTACCATCAGGTGAACACCCCAAAAAATGACGTATAAAATTATAATACGAAGAGATATGCTAGCTGATGGTCTGGGGCGACCTTTGTGCATTTTCCTGCTAATAGGCACAGACTGGCTGACATTTAAGAGTGGAAACAGTCAGAAGCTGCAATAACATTAATTAATAAGGTGAACTTCAAGGAAATGGCTTGCTTGCCTTATAAAAATACAGTACTGAATAGTAATACAAAAGCATGGAGACACCCCCCAATAAAAATACTGGTACTTACTTTCTTGTCTTTCACATATGAAATGTAATTTTTCAGAGCACTTTGCTGCCAGCAGATTTGACTGATTATTAAGAAGAGTGCCACAGCCACTACGTGCATTCATTTGTATCCTTAACCTAAAGAAAGATGCAAATTGTAATGGTTGTTGTGGGTTTTTCGGGCTCTTTGGCCATGTTCTGAAGGTTGTTCTTCCTGACGTTTCGCCAGTCTCTGTGGCCAGCATCTTCAGAGAACTGGAGTAGGAACTCTGTCCATGCTCTGTTGCTGCTTGTTGGATAGTTAAGTATTCATAGCTGTGGGAAACAGCTTTTGTCTTTTTTTCAAATTTTAACTATATCTTCAGTCACTTTTGTAATATAACTCATTATATCTCAGTTTAGTAATTTGCTTCTCAGAGGGCAATTTGAGGTAGTAATGACTAGACTAATACTTCAACTCCCTGCAGTCTAGTGGTTTTCTGACAAATTCCAGTAGCACAAGCACACAGTTCTATATTCCATTTTAGCTCAATGGCTGGTAATTGCATCATTCTGTGGTGCTTGCTTACAGAACAAGAAATGAGATTCAATATTATGTGTGTAAGCTTCACAGAAAAATAATACAGTATCTTCAAAAAGCACTAAGCCACTACATGTATTTGTCTGGGAGTTGCACTCTACTTTTCTGTTTCCTCTTCTATTATTGCCTCCCCTCCTCACCCTATGCATTTGGCTGTCCTCAGGGCATAGGTCTGGGACTGCCATTACTGATCTGTAGATTATACTTTTATTCTTAATGCTAAGACTAATTTGTTTTAAAAAATCTTATTTACTTATTATCATGATATTTTGAATTTTTGGGAAAACTGTACATGTGATAATGCCCTGTGACAGTATTAATTCTTAATAACCAAAGAATAATAAAGAGATCCCTCTGATAATTTAGGAGATTTTTTTTTCTGCATTTGGTAGACCAGAACATGGATCCCGACTTACCAATATATCCTTATGAAATGGAATGAAAAAGAGTGTAAAGAAATAGCTTTGAATTAGACCTTGCCATCATTACTTTCACATTTTAAATTCCTATATAATTTAACTGCCCACCAAAGACATGCTCATCGGCTAATTGCCCTATCGAAAGACTGTAGCACAGGATGAGGAAAAGCAGGAGACAGAGAGCCTGGTTACATTAGGGGAAAAAACATATTTGAATTGGATTTAGCATGTTTTAAATCGATTTTTAAAAAAGTGACTACAGATCACACATGGAAGTGCGGAATGTTTTGACAGGGAATCTGCTATTTTGATCAGAAATGAGGTAAAATAGTTTTCTGTTTAAAGTCATTTATTTTAACTTTGATGTCAAATCAGTTTGCTTTGAATCCTTTCATCTTACGTGAACACATCTGTCAGTGTAAGTTGTGTCCTTCTCCCCCCCGCCCCTTGTATGTGCACGTCTCCCTGCTTCACAAGCCCCGTCTCCATGTCTGTATGTGTGTGTATATATGTTTCTGGCAAGGAGTTTGACTGACATTGGGGAAAAAACAGTCAGGCAGCACAAGGGAAAATTGCAAGCCTTGCTTCCCACCCCACCCACTCTCCCCTCTTTCTCTCTGGCAAAGTTAACTTCTGACTGACATAGCAAAAGAAATTTTATAAAACTGGTCAGCTAGCATGAGGGGGAATTGCAAGTGTCACTTTCCTCTGTCTCTCTCTGTCTGCCCCCCTCTCTATTTCTTTGGTGAGGAGTCTCTGTCTGACATAGCAAAAGAAAATTTTTTAAAACCGGCAGCCAGTGTGGAGGGGAATAGCAATCCTCACTTTTCTCCTGTCTCTTTCTCTGTCTCTCTCTTTCTGTGGTTAGGATCCTCTGTCTGACATAGCAATATCCCTCCCTTGCAAACTTTGAAGGGGCTGGGCTTTGTCAAGGGGGTCAGGCTGGCTCAGGACAAAGCCTTGATTGCAATTATTTGAAAAATCTATGTAGTCTCCTCAACATAGCTTAAAAATGAATTAAAGCATTTCCCAAAAGGAGGTACACACTGACCCAAATACCATGTGACTATCTACCATGTGAATTTAACACAATTTGAAAACCATGATCCAGCTATCGGTCATTTTCATATTGTAACCATGCTATGAAATGGAGTAGCAGGTGTAGAAAACTGACAAATCGGTGTCATTACATGTCCTTTTGGCTTTATTCTAATTGCTTCCTTAAAGGCAGTGCTATTCATACTTGTCCTTTGTTCCTTCTCAGATTGAATTCCTTCTGGCTTGGGAGTTTCATCTTCCAGCACTATCTCTTCTTTCATTTTGGATCATAGGTTTTGTAAGGTAAGAAATATTCAGAAGCAGTTTACAACTTCCTTCTGTGCACTACTAACAAAAGTTAGCTTGAGAGTCACTGTGGTTGAGATTCTCTCTGAGGTGAGCACCTGCACAAGCATGACTCTGATCCTCTCAGCACAGCCTTCCTCTTCCTCAGTGCATGGACAGCAATCGTTTTCAGCCTCTTTGGTTCTGGTTGTGAGGGAACCCCATGCGGGGGGGGGGAGAATCACACACATGGAGGACGATGTCATATGCACAAGGGGCAGAGCTCCACCCATCGGGAATAAAAAATTAGAGAGACTGTTGACTGTGGTTGTCTGTGAAAGATCCTCCACCTGTTTTACCTTCCACTATAGCTGTTGCCTAATAGCTACCATTATCACTACTGGAACAACCAATTCTCTACCGTGGATCTGACCATTAATTCCGAAGAGTGTGAGTGTATCTTAGTGTGGTGTCTCAGCTTTGATCAGTTTGTCTAGCATAATCTTCCTAGGAGTCCAGATTAATAATGCATCTAGCCTCCTAGTGGCACTGCTCTCAGTCTCCCTGACACACTAAAATCCTCTCACAATTTTTAGGCATGCATCCAAGAGAGGGTTTTATCAACCACCTCTCTTTAAGCGCTTTCAAAGGGTGTTAGACATAGATGTATGCATAAATTGTGGAAAAACTTTGTCAAATAAACTTTTTGTTGCACATTAGACCTGTTTCTTCCAGTCTTAACATCAATAAACTTCTAGGAAGCTTCCAATACTTTCCCATTTCCCTGTACAAGTGGGATCTGCAACAAAATGTTGTAGTGTGGTGCGCTCCAGCCAATTAGACATGCTTTCTTCAATTTGATCCAATTCCTCTCTTACCTCCCTCCCATCTTCCTGCATCCACAATAGTCGGTCAGCATTTCACCCTTTCTAATTTCCCTGTACCCCCTATCTTAGGTTTCTCCAAACCATCTAGCAGCTCTTTTAGTAATGCACAGCATCTGGGCTATATGCAGATAAGTAATGAAAGATGAATTTGATATTAGTACATAGGATTTATGTTGCTATATGCCACAACTTGCTACTGACATATGGTGATCCCAATGTCTCAAACATGTGGCCTGGGGGCCATTTGCGGCCCGCTGGATGATAGTTTGTGGCCCCCACCTTGCCTGCCCACCCGAAGTACTCACGCGTCCTCTGCTGTCAAGAGACAAAAAAAGCCTCGCCTCGCTCACCGGCTCTCTCCCAAGACAGCACCTCTTGCACCCTCCATCTGGAACTACAGCCTGCCAGCCAGCCCGCTTGTCTGCCCGCCGGCAGTCTGCAATTCCGGATGGAGGGTGCAAGAGGCGCTGTCTTGGGGGAGAGCTGGCGAGGGAGGCACGCTGACAGCCCTTTTCCCCAAGCGTCCGAGCTGCTGCCAAGCGATGCCTGAGAGCGGAGCTCACTCCCAGCCGATCCTCGAAGAGCGCCTCCAGGGAAGCAGCTCTCTGGCTCTCTTTCTCTCTCAGCACCCCCAACACCAACCTGGCCAGAGGGGCTTCCTCCTCCTCCTCCTCTTCGTCCTGCTTCAGCCACTTTGGCTCTGGAGGCTGCCTGGGCTTGCCTCATAAAGTTTGCTCCTCTGCTGAGTGTGCATTTTTTGAGTGGGTGGCCTTCAGAGGAAGGTTGTCGGACCTCCATGTGTGTGTGTGTGTGTTTGAGGGCTCGCTCACCCCTCCTCCTCCTCAGAGCCCCAGTTGGGCTAAGGAAACTCCTGGGCGGCTTCCTCGGGGCTCTTGCTCCACTTGGCGGAAAATCTGATGCGGCCCAGCCTCAGCCAGACTCTGCCTCCAGCGGCCCCCAGGTAAATTGAGTTAGAAACCCTGCAATAGGGTTTCTAAGGTGTGTGAGATGATCAAAGGGTGGTTTACCATTGCAACCAGCCAGCAAGTTTCAACAGACAAGCCAAGATTTGGGCCTAAGGCTCCTGAGGGCTGGTTCAACACTCTATCCAGTGCACCACACTGGTTCATTCTGTAGGATTACCTCTCACCAAATTGAAGAACCTAGCAGATTCTTCCCCACCATGTCAATTATTTCAATCACCCCCATCCTAATAATTTAAAGTGGCTTAAAAATCCATGGCATCTGAATTGTTAAAATGGGACTTAACAGAAAGTATTCACATACTGTCAGCTGCTAAACTACTATTGCAGCAACACAGGTGAACAATTCTGTCCTTAGTTTTTTAATTGATAAAAGAAATGTATCAAAATCTTACCAGTGTAAATTAGTTTGTGCTTTTGTCCCATCTCCCCATTGCCACTCTCCCTTCTGGGAGTGCCACCGTATTCCAATCCACATTTGTTCACTTATCATCTGTCTCAGCCACATCTACAGGGCAGACAAACGTATGTTTATTTCCTGCATTTTTAAATCACTCACTAACCATCATTCTCAAGCCAGTGTACAATGAACTAACAATATTAAATATTGAAGCATAACAATACAATAAAATATCACCAAAATCCTTTAGAAACAGACACACAACACTGTTAAAATTTAGAGGCACAGCTTCAGCATAGTCCACAAATGTAACCGCATCCACAGAAGGGGACAGACTTAAAATGCAGTGCCTCTCTCCTCAAAAATCAATCAATCACTCACTCAAACAAACTGAAATGGGAAAGGTATCACTTTCAGTGCAGAACTCATCTCATGAAAGAGGAAGTCAGAACACACTTCCCAGGATGCTATCCACTCATCTCCAAAAAGCTGGCCCAAGAAGTCTGGGCTAAAAGATATGTCTTGCTACATCTAAGACATTAGAAAGAGGGAGGCAGCAACCTCTATATTTCACATAAGATTAAAATTAACTTGTACATCAAAAACATTTCCAACCTTTGTATCAGGAGTTTCCAGCTGAAGTAGCCTTGTTCCTTTGAAACGTGTGCATAGCTCCTGCGCTACCTTCCATGTCACTTTTCTTTTCTTTTCTATCAAATAACATTTATCTTTCCAGTACCACCAACCAGCACCAAGAGAGCACTTCAAACTGTACAAACCTGATATCATCAGCAGAGAAAAGTAAGTTGCAAATAAAACTTTCTTTTGCGTGTATACCAAACACTCACGGGCACATGCACCTGGTATCTATAGTGACCTAGTTTGTCCTTGCGTACTGAATAAGAAAGTATAAAGCCTTTCTCCCTGTGCTTAGATGGTAATTATTTTCTGTATCAGGTAAACTGTGAGATTGATCCCCTCTCCCTTTCTATACATGCACAAATATTTAAACTTTGACAACTGTTGCTCTGGTTGCATGGACCATTAAAATGTAAATGTTTTAGATTAATTTTATGTAAGCAACCAGTGCATTCTGTCATGCTTGCTCTCTGTGTGTATGCTTGGCTTCAGAAACACAAAAGATACCAAAGACATTCTGTGCAAAATTATACAAACTGTGACAAGGAAATAAAGCACTTGGGGTCTTGGTCTTATGCTAGGGATGGGATTGGTTCTGTGGGCCTAAGAAATCATAATGAGCTGTCACATTTTAAGAAGATTTTTTCAGGTCTCTACTAATAATATGTGACTCCTGTCATTCTTTCTTTGTTGTGTTCATATGCAAATATCCCTTTGTATAATTTGGAAACTGAGCCATTTCAGAATTATGAAAGAGCCAATAATTCACTTAGAGTCTTTTCCCTCCAAGAGATAGTTTAAAAATTGGAACCCATTCTCAAAAACAAGTTCTGTATCTTGCTCTTTCCTCCAGGGTGAATTTTCCTTATAGAATTTAACTGTGGTTTTGCATCACAATAGTTCCAACACCAAGCATACTAAATCCAATCAAAAATCCCATCTTAGTAAGAATTTAAAACTAGGGACTGAAGTGGATTTACAATTCCTCTTTATGGGAAAGGCTAATGTCAATAAAGGAATATCATTAAACTAAAAATAAAGCCTAGATAAAGCCTAGCATAATGAGGAACTGTAGATAAAAACAGCTGCCTAGTCAGCCATGCAAGCAAGCTAATAAAGAAAATTATCAGGGAAATGGAACCAAGAAGCAGTCAAGTTCAGCAATTGCCTATTTGTATCACGAAATAATACTTGGGCAACACCTGACGTCAACTGTGTAAGGTCTCCACTCACACAGCTTTCTGGAGGCAAGAACATCAGGGACTCAAGCAATACACCATGGCTTCCGATCACCACCTAGATTATGAGACTTTATCAGTCTTTATCAGATTATGAGACCTATCTCTCAACAATGGCACAGAATGAGAGAATAGAGAGATTCGCAGATTACAAAGATGGTTGCCATGGCAACACCAGCACCTGACTAGAAAACACTGACTACACCACAACTTGCATATACAGGTGTATTATAATTTCCTCCAGGAAACGCACAACCACTCATTTCATCCTTACAATTATTCTGTCCATTAGGGCAGACTGATTAATAGAAATTGACCCAAGGTTATCCACTGAGCTTCATGGTTCACTGAAGATTTGAATCTTGGTCTCTCCCTGGTCCTAAATGCAACATTCAAAACATTACACTCCTACATGCTTACTCATGGACAGAACAAGGCTGCCCATCCAGATTGTTAACTAGGCAGACCCTGTTCAGTTTCATTAAAACTTCCCAATGTTTATTATTACAGAGGTTTAGTGCTTCCGGGTTACTTTAAAAAAAACCATGCTCTATAAGAAAACTTTGTATATGCAGAATAAAAGCAAAATTATTGTCAGGTACTTCTTTTTTAAAAAAGGAAATAATCAGACTCACCGAGAGAACAGATACCCACGCTCGTAGGTGCAGCACAAGCTATAAAACCTTCACATGTTCCAGTTACAGGGTGGCATAATTTGTCCCAATGGCAACGTGGACAATCAGCTTCACATTCTGACCCATAATATCCATAATCACACCCTTTGAAACAACAACAACAACAACAACAACAACAACAACAACAATAATAATAATAATAATAATAATAATTCTCAAGAATAATATACCATTTTAGAATGCTTCACATAAAACTTCATGCAATCCTTATAAAAGGCCTAGAGAGTAGGCCAGTACACACAGGGATAGGAGACTTGCACATGAAGCTGGAACAAAAGTTTTCCCAAGGTCACCCAAAGATTCGTGGAGAAGCTGTGATTTAAATTAGGGGTTCCTAACTTCTCAGGAATGGGGAGGTACAAATGTACATGATTAGAATGGGGAAGTTGCTATGGATCCACAATGGCCTACATCTGCATATTTTTGTTGTATGCATATCTTTCTCATCCCCATTAGACTTAGGAGAAATTGGTTCTGCTAGTTTTTAGCAGGAACGAATGTACACAATAGTGATGGGCTGGTGGACTGTGTCTTGAAACTCGTATTTCTACAATCTCTAAAATATTGCTTGTCTTTAAACCTGTCCCCCATCCTGTTGGAAGCATACTCACTTGAATGCTTGTTTGGTAACAGTGTGTTAGACAAGCATTCAAGAGAGTATGCTTCCTACAGGTTTGCTTTTTTCATTTAAAAAAAAAAAGGACAGCCAACCTGAAATGTGTGGAAATAGGTCAAGAGGAATCATTCAGATTAAGAGCTGTACACACATCATTTGAGAAACAAAGGCAGGTGTGGAAGTTTTACAGTAGAAGGTAATAAGACCTTGCACCAACTCTTGTTTTTTAATCTGTTGTATCCTTCACTGTCAAATCAGTTCTGACTCATTGTAGGGTTTCCTAGATAACTGACATATTTAAAGGAGTGGTTTTACCACTGCCTTGCCAGAGTGAATTTCCATGGCCAAGTTAAGATTTGAACCCAGATGTCATGTGTCCCAGTAGGATACTCTATCCTCTACTACACCACACTGACTACTGTATTGCCAGTTTTTGATAATATCTGTACAAAGGCTGATGTTAAAAGACCAGATGACTAAAACAAGCTATGAAACATTTAAAATCTTCATGGAGGAACAGAAAGAACAAGGTTTCACACAACATTTGGGATACTGAAGTCATCTGAAGTATCAGCATGTGAAAATCCACTGTAGAGACAAACATTGTAATACTGTATTGTGAAAACTTAATGAAAATTAGCATTCAGTGAGTAATCATGACAATTTGAAAAATAACTCAGTTATGACTACCTGATTTTAAAAAAGTCACAGTTGAACCAAAGGTGCCACCAACCAGTTCAAGGCCATTGAGTGTGAAATATCCAGACTGCCACAATCCAAAGCCAAGGCATGAAAACTTCTGCTTAATACATTCATCCCTTGCTTCACTGTAAGTCAAATTGTCTGATGAACTTGGTGTCATTGAGATCACTACTGCGTCCCAAAAGCCTGAATATATATCAAGGTCTGCAGATGGAGAGAAAAAAAAATCCTAAGGTACACTCAATTCTGATTTTTAATTTTTATCAACAACACAGCATTAATACCAGGTTCCCACAAGCTGTGATCCAAGTGTCAGATATCTGACAACCCCATTTTTGTTGCTATTTCCCCTCAGCTGAGTCTGAAGGAGTGTTTGCCAATGAACAGATGAATACAATATGTAACAGGGTTTGGAGCTTTGATTGCTTATCAGTTCATAGGACTCCGTATATGTGGTTTGCCGGATAATTATGTACAACATACAAGGTGCCCCCTTGTGACCTTTATATAGGGTTTCCTCATATCCACTGTTGTATATAGGGTTTCCTCATATCCACAGTTTCAGGCATCCATGGAGATTATAGAACTGATCCCCTGCTGATATGGGTGTCTTACTGTAATTGCAACAATTATAGTGATTCCTAGAATGAATCAATATGGCTAAAAAGATATAATTCAGGAAATTACCATCTGAATTAAGCTCCGTCATGAAGCTTAAAATCAAATACAAGCAGCAATACAACTTACCTAGTTTCTACATCTCTTCATTATTTCAAATGATTATCCTTCACATTTATTCAACTCCAAAGCAACAATTTTAAACAGATGTAAACCAAAGCAAGCTATACTCTGAAATCCTACTGCTTAGCATAGTAAACTAAACTAAAGTAGGCCAGTTTGAACCAGTGTGGATATGGTGAGTCAGGTCCTCCATATGTGCATGCATATTTATTTATTTATTTATTTATTGAATTTATATGCCGCCCACTCTACCCAGAGGTCTCTGGGTGGCATACAATAATTAAAATTCAATACAATAAAAATAAAATGATTAAAATACAATTAAAATACAATTAAAATTGCCCTCATCAGGACCCACGGTTGATGTTATTTCAGTTAAAAGCCTTCTTTTATGTGAGAGTGCACATGCAAACACACACACACACACACACAGAGAGAGAGAGAGAGAGAGAGGGGGAGAGAGAGTACTATATAATGATTAGCATTAGAGATAGGAGAGAGAGAGAGAGAGAGAGAGAGTACTATATAATGATTAGCATCAGAGATAGGAATATTCGTATACCAGTTAGGATCTGGTGAGTAATATCCAATGTAATTTCCATAGATTCAGTGGGCTTACTCTAGTTGTGATTTACTACACTAATCAACAGGATGTTGCAATCGGTATGTTAAGCACACAGCAACTCAGGGCTTTTCATTCAATGCTGCTTAATCCATTTCAACACTTCCTACTTGAATAGCTTATTATACATGAGAATATAGGTGAGCATATTCCAAACCTCGCTCAGCTGGTCTTTTGCACACCCAGTCTCTCTTATTCTTACAGGAAATTTTGCGGATAACACCTGTATTTGATATGTCAGCACATCTTCGCCATCTGCGTCCCTTTGGGAGTTCCATCCTGATCAGATAAATTAAGAGACTCAGTCAAAAGGAGGACTTGCCTTCATTTGTATAGGTCCCATTATTATTTGTATCTCCCATTATGAGCCGGATTGGGAGTTAAGATCACCAGGAGAAGCCTTTCTCTCAGTCCCGCCACCTTAACAAGTGCATCTGATGGTGACACAGGAGAAAGCCTTCTCTACTGCTTCTCCCAAACTTTGGAACTCCCTCCCACAGAGTGGCTCCAACTTTGCTGTCCTTCCGCAAGCAGGCAAAGACCTTTCTCTTCAGGCAAGCCTTTTCACAGTAGCTAACTGTGCTTGATTTTTTTTTAGATGGATTGTTATGCGTTATTACTTTGACTGGATTTTTAGTACTACTTGTGTTTTCCATTTTTCTATTTTCCATTTCTCAGAGTAGCATTTTAAAAAAGCATACTAATTGTTTTTAGCTCTAATATTGTCTTTTGATGATGTAAGATGCCTCTTTACTCATTCTTAGCTTTAAATATTATTAATGGTGTTAATCACTGTCGTATACTCATTGTTTCCAGCTTCAGATATTGCCTTTCAGTGGATTAAACTGTCTTGGGTCCTTTTCAAGGAGACAAGGTAAAGGTAAAGGTAAAGGTAAAGGTTCCCTTTGACAATTTTTGTCCAGTCTTGTTCGACTCTAGGGGGCGGTGCTCATCTCCGTTTCCAAGCCATAGAGCCAGCGTTTTGTCCGAAGACAATCTTCCGTGGTCACATGGCCAGTGCGAATTAGACACAGAACGCTGTTACCTTCCCCCCGAAGTGGTCCCTATTAATCTACTTGCATTTGCATGCTTTTGAACCACTAGGTTGGCGGGAGCTGGGACAAGTGACGGGCGCTCCCTCCGTTGCGTGGATTCGATCTTACGACTGCTTGGTCTTCTGACCCTGCAGCACAGGCTTCTGTGGTTTAGCCCGCAGTGCCACCACATCCCTCTTTTCAAGGAGAAAGACAATGTAAAAACATTTAAATAAATAAATAGAACAGCTAAGAAATTGAAAATTAGAGAGAATAACAATGACAGAAATTTAGCAACCATGAATTGTTACTAAAATGCATGTGTGTGAAGAAAAGAAGTTACCTCTAGATAAAGTATTTTTCTTTTTTAAAAGTCACAGTGCTCATTGCCTTATGAAATAAATATAAAAAGGAGTACTTGAGTTGCAGCAATATTTCATTTAGCCTGAGTGCAGATTCACAGATTCTATTTAAGATGATAGCCAAAGTTTTGTCACTGTCTAATGATGATCTAGGTAGCGCTTGAATTTTCAGAATTCAAGGATTCCCAGTGCTGTAATTCAGTGTTCTGGTTAAACTGCTGTACTGCAGCCAAAACTGTGCTCATAACCTGGTGTTCAATCCCAGGTAGCCAGCTCAAGGTTGACTCAGCCTTCTATCCTTCCAAGGTTAGTAAAATGAGTACCCAGCTTGCTTGGGGATGGGGGGGGGGCAAGTAGCCTCGATAATTACAGTAACTTGTAAACCACCCATAGAGTGCTTTAATGATTATGGGGCAGTATATAAGCAGCACACTTTGCTTTTTGCTTTAGCAGGGATAGAGGCAGAAAAAGTTGTGAACGTTTGCATAGAGCTCCAACACAGCAGAAGCTGTGGAGCTCTGACATGATGAGGAGCCAACTAACGATCTCCATCAGGATCTCTTCTTCTCTTTGCCTCTTAGCACTAATCTGTTGCAAAGCTGACTTTAGAAAGCATTAGAAAAATTGGAGACAACAGGCACTAAATTGAGGTGAATGGACACTTCTGCAAGTGCCCCTTTGTACTGGATCAGGCAATCATACAGGGCAGAAAGCACAGAAAAGCAATGCCAGCAAGTTGGAGCAAAATTGAACCACCCTTACCAGCTGAACAAAAGAGAAGATTCTCCACTAGGCTTCTCCACAATGAGTTTTATGTTGTGTAGTAGCTGGTTTTTAATTTGAATTCATGCATACCAAATCCAACACAAGCTGTGGGTAAATGGCCAAGGTACTCACCCTTTACTTTCATAACTCTTTCTGTCATGTACCCCTTCTGTCTCCTAATCTTCTCCTGAATTGGTTTCATGATTTTGTAGAGGCAAAGGACTTTACAGATACTGTACCCAGTGCCAGATGTATCACTTTCCCATTTTAATGGTCTCCGCTGAGCCCTTTTATGACTACTTACGTACCTGTTCTATAGAGCTGAATGCAACGCAAAGATCTGCTTGAATTAGCAGATGTCATGGTCTGGATCTGATGCCCACCAAAACTCTAGGCTACCATTATACATACCACTCCAGTGCACTTGTTGCAGGGTCACCATGTGACCAAGTCCAGACATGATCACGGTCAATATCATGCAGCCCTAACCATATCCAGCTGGTGAAAAACTTTGTTAACCATTTCTGTAAATAAGATCAAGATGACAAACAAAATGACAGTTACAAGGTACAACTGATTTAGAAAACAATAAGCGAATCCACAAATACTGGAAAGATAAGTGTTGAGTTAAAGACTTTGCTTCACAACAACAGAAATTGTCTCCGGCTTCAGATTACTATCAGGATGCCTTTTGCAAGCAATGTCTATCTGTTACAGTTCTAAATAGTTACAACTCACAATGACAAATAAAACAGATCAAAAGTGGTGCAGGCTTTACGAAGCATCATCTACTTGAATACAGCCTCTACCTGTTCAAGAAAGAAAGGCAGGATCTGGAAGCAGGATCTGAGCCATATACAGTATGATCACACTAATGGATTACTCTTTTTGTATGATTTGCTGGAAGCTTTTCCTGATATTCAGTCTAAATCTGACTTCCTGTAGCTTGAGCACATTATTACATATCTTGCATTCTGTGACAACAGAGAGCAGATCCTGCCCCTCCTCTGTATGACTACCTTTCATATATTTGAAATGTGCTATTATCTCTTTCCTCAGTCTTCTTTTCTCAAGGATAAACATGCCTAGTTCTTTCAGTCCTTCCTCCTAGGGCTTGGTTTCCAGTCTCCTGATCAACACTGTTGCCCTCAACAACATGCTCTAGTTTGTTGGCATACTTCTTAAAGTGTGTTGTCCAGAAGTGGACACAATTCTCTAGATGATGTAGAGAGTGGGAATGCTGTTGATGTAATACAGTGTATCTTGACTTCAGCAAAACTTTTGGTGAAGTATTCCATGCTATCCTGCTTAGCAAGCTACCTAGGTATGGGCTGCATAGCAAAAATGTCAGATGGATATTATGAAATAGTGAATACGACATTTTTCTGAACTGTGATTTCTCTACACAGGGACTTAAATTCTGAGAGTACTGGCTAGTGAAGCCAAGAAAAGTTATAAGAGAGAGAAACAAAAGTAATCATACCAGATCATGTTCCTCTTCAACCCACAGAAGTTCAGCAGCCCTAAATCGACTGCAAGAAGAATTTGCCTTTCTCCAGTTTCTGAGACGTTTTCTTGAGAAATAGTAACAGTACTTGTTCCAGTAGCGCCATTTTTTCATATCTGGGCATCTCTCACTCACAGTGCCTTTAAAAACAAGTGCTCGGTAAGCCACTTAATACTGATCTCAAAATGAAAGTGACCAACATTTATTGTTTGCGGACATAAAAGTTCTCAAATCATTCACTCTCTTCATGTCAATGGTAGAAGTAGAAATATTCTACAGACATCTATAACAGCAGGAATGGAATCTATGGAACAATACCATCAATACACAATTATTTGTGTATCATTACACCACCTTGTGTATCATACCAACTTGTATCATTACACCAACCTGTGTATCACACAAACTTGTATCATTACAGTACAGGACAATGGGATGACACCAGTTCGTCTTTTCTAAAAATGTTCATGTTAACTGGTTGAACAAGTATGGCAGAAGTGATCTTTTAGACCAGATGGGCGGGGTATAAATTAAATTAAATAAACAAATAAATAAATAAGTGATGGCTCTTCAGTTGTGGGCTCCTAACCCACAACATGACTGAGCCCGAAATAGTTAAATCTATCTCTCCCCACCTCAAATGAACAGTCAACAAGCCCTATAAAACAAACAAACAACTTCATTGCTATTTCTCTCACTTATACCCCCCACAAAAAAAGAAAGAAAAGAAAAATAAAACACTAAAGCACTAATTGCCAAAACATCTGGGAACTATATTTTCCTGTGAGCTAACTCAAACTCAAAACTAGAGGAGAAAGGTGTATAGTTTGGCATGTACTACACTGAGGTAGAAAAGTGTGGGGTACAATTCTCTGTTCCAAAACTTAACACTTCCAATTCCTAAGGTCACAAACCTCTCTCCCCCACCCTCTATTTTCGATTTTGAGAAAAGTAGGAGGTGTCACCTGTGAGAGGTCAGGGCAAATATGGCCCATGGGCTCTTTGTAGCTTCCACTCCACTGGTCACTTATCCTAAAAGAATAGGTTTCTCACTACTTCCCACAATCTTTTTGATTATTTTTGTCAGTAAGACAAAACCTCTAACAGATCTACATCATCATACAAAATACTTTATTCTGTTTGTGGAATGTTGTCTTAATTGTTGCACTGTAAAAATCCTCTTCCAACTCAGAAAAACAACACACAAAATTTGTCCAGTGAATATAATGGGATCAGCTAATCCTTCTGTAATTCTGCTTGCAGCCTATTTTAACCGATCTTCCTAATCCTCTCCATTGAAAAGATGTTGTTGTGGGCTTAAATGTCTGAACTGAACCTGACCGACTACAGGATAAAATAGTATGTCCCAGAATATACACCTGAACAACCATTTTGGGGATTTCATTTTTATTACAAAGATTCTACAAACTGGGGTGCATTTAAGAATATTTGCAAGAGTTGCTTCAGGGAAAGAGAGAGGAATCAATAAAATCATACAGAATTATAGTGTTATTTTTAAACTTACTTCTTGAACAATTTTCTATAGAAGACTGATCCCAACAGGTGGATTTCTCATCACATAACCCAGTCAACATGTTACAACGTGCATTGTCTCTACACATTGGGCATTCCTGACTACACAGATGGCCATGATGTCCTGGTGAGCAACCTAAGGTTCAGTGAATCAAAATAAATTTAGAAGTGAGGTGTGGTTAAAAAAAAACCCAAACAAACAAGCCCCAAGTAAGTATCCTCACATTGCTAGGTAAGTTAGAACATATGAAGAATACTGCCGTATCAAATTGGCCAGTCCGATTCCTACATGTAACCCTTAAGTAAATCATGATGGCAAAAGCCCTCTATGTTTATTTATTTATTTATTTATTTATTGGACTTATATACCGCCCCATAGCGCTACAAGCACTCTCCGGCGATTCCTACATGTAACCCTTAAGTAAATCTTGATGACAAAAGCCCTCTATGTTGTTCTCCAATGACTGGTATTTGGAAGTAGTGTATGGTGCTTCTCTTCATGGAGGTTATGTAAAATCATACAACATGACATTGTGCTAAAATAAATGTTTCAGGTGCCACAATATTCTTCGGAAGATTTTTTTTCTACAACAGATTAGCTCAACAATCCCTCTGGAAATTGTTACAATGGAAAAATGTTTCAGTGGTTAGTTAGAAAGAAACTAATGACTAGTTGGAAGGCTACTTGAGACAAGCTTTTTATCCTGAGGTTTAGTGGGAGCAAGCCAACTTTAAGGACAGGTTCTTTGCTTGCAGCACCAAGCAAAATGAGCCTCGTGGCGCAGTGGTTAGAACGCTGTACTGCAGCTAAAACTGTGCTCACGACCTGGGGTTCAAATCCCAGGTAGCCGGCTCAAGGTTGACTCAGCCTTCCATCCTTCCGAGGTCGGTAAAATGAGTACCCAGCTTGCTGGGGGGGCAATGTGTAGCCTTTATAATTAAAATTGTAAACCGCCCGGAGAGTGCTTGTAGCGCTATGGGGCGGTATATAAATCCAATAAATAAATAAATAAATACTTGATACAAGCTTTTTATCCTGAGGTTCACTGCTTGAAATGTAGGATCTGACTCATGTCTTTCTATTGCTTTTAAAATTCAGAGAGTCAATACTTTTTTGTTTGGCAACTTGTGGATGGTACATACTGTAAACGCTTTACAAAAGCCAAGAGTCACTCTGGAGTTACATGTTTCTATGGCATCTTCTGACATCTAGTTTAATTTAATGAAACACTTTTATTTATGAGGTAAATAAATAGTAGTAGTAGCAGCAGCAGCAGCAGCAGTACAATATTAAAAAAAACCAGAATATGATCCACATTTTTATCTTTGTAATAGCTGATCTTTTAGGACATTTTGCAGGCATTTCAAGCTTATTTCCCCAGCACTGAACATTCACAATTGTGTACTAGGACCTGAATCCAATTGGTAGACCAACTAAATAAACTCAATGATTCATCAGTGGAGCCAACAGCTCCATTCTAGCTGGGGCTATTAGGTAACTGGATTGAATAATACATCTCTAAATATAGAGTGGATACTTACTGGTTTTTAAATGAAATATGTGGTGAGCTGAACCGGACACCATTTCCATTCCAGTGACAAGAAAATGTTCATTTGTCCAGCTACTTATTCCAGTACAGTTCTCTCTTAATACACAATGGATTTTTGCTTCAACAAGATCTTTATATACAGCCATAGGATAAACAGCCAGCATAATTTTCCCAGGGTAGCTAATGAAAGGGTCATGACCATCTTTCAGAAAACAAAATAATATTTTAGTCACAATATTTCTTCAAGGAAATATAGCTTGACTGATAGACAAAACACAATGGTTTTACATGGATATAGTTAGTACAATTATACTAACAGTTGGGGAATAAAACACAGGTAAAGTCTATTGTTTATCAGGGCTTGTGTGGCAACTGCACACACAGTGCTTAACAGTTGTCCTGTCCAGTTTACTTAAGCAGTGTTCTGATTCAGGGTCTGAGAACCAGAAGTACTTCATCAGAAAATCTTATCTTCCCAATTTAAACAAATCTTTGTACTTAAAACACAAACACACACACATATACACACAAACCCAAATGCTAACAAAACACCATGTTCTTGCTTATTCTCAGACGCCTCCCCACCTACCCACTGATCGTCTTCCTTCCTGCCCCAAATAATTTCATCAGTTTGTGATTGTTGTATTATATAAATTGTTTCACTTTCGCTCAAATAAGATGAATTAAAACTACAATTGAATTATTGTTCCAATCCAAACTAACAGCATCTAGAGCCAAAACCATAACAAAAGCAGAGTAGATGTCCACAGGTTTGACCCAGTAGCACTTCCAAAGATCTTTACTAGGCCAAGTCAAAACACTGAATATCATATAAGATCTTGAACAACTATTAATCAGTCCACATTCAGAAGTGCCAAAGAGAATAGCAGGCTAAGAAACTCTGCAGTAGGTGTGAGCAGACTCGGAACATACATTGTATATAACAATCAATTCCTCCAATTAGTACCTATTTCTGTTTCGCAAACATAAAAATGTTTTTCAGAGCATGGTAGCGCTTGAAGTGTTCCTCCTTGTAGCATTTGAGCACAACCATTTGCTGTTGCCGGAAAATCCCATAACCTGTTTAAAAGAAACTCTTGACTGTAGTCAATCAAACTCTTTACAAGTCCTGGCTTATAAATTTAGAAAGGACAATGAAATGCCCTATATATTAGAATAACGAAAAATTAATGCTTACCAGGAATATTTTGATGGATCAATATCTTCACCACTTGCACTCCATTTCCATTTATTTCCTCTCTGTAGCAAGCTAATCCAGCTCTCTGCTTCCAACATATTACCAAGCCACTTCTAGAGAAAGAAAAATGGTGTTTAAATTTTTCTTTAAAAATATTCTCTGTGGTCCTGGATGGATAAGGACCAGGTAAGGACGAGAGAGCTGCTCTGGACATAACAGGTTTTCACTAAAGGAGCAGGTTTGCAGCTTGATTGCTATTACACTCAGCCTTATGGCTGCTTGTGTCCTCTGTTGCCAATAGCTTTTTTAAACTTAACACCTATCAAGACAAACACTGAATTTATGTACACCTTCACAAACACAGATACAATTATCAGTCCTTTGTTGAGCTAGGGAATTGCTATGGCTTATCACTATTCTCCCAAATGGCCTACCAATAAATATCATGCCTGCAGCTGCCCATCCTTCATTTGGCCCCATTTGGGACAGGAATCCCCAGTGTCCCACTGTTCTGTTAACCCAATTCCACATGACACTTGTAACAACCCTCTGCTTGTGTAAGCTCAAATAATAAGAAGCCAGTCACTGCTGCAACAAGCTAGCCATGGCCCAAGAGACACTTAAACCTTGACATCATTGTGGTAGTTCTTGCCCTAGCCACAAAGTCATCTCTCCATGCAAGCACTATACCTTTTCCTTTTCACTGTCAATTCTGACAAGGTGGCTATCCTTATAGTAGGAACATCGTGTGTTTGCCCATGCATGTTGTCCCTTCATTTCCTTTTCAAAATAATAACAATGGCCATCATAGAACCACCATGGGGCATTGTGGGGACATTTTGGATTCCTGATACCTGAAGGCAAGACAAATGCCATTTCAAGGTGGTACAAGGAAGTCTACTGTTTATACAGTTGTCAGTGTTATGTTGTGATCTATATTTGGAAAGATTAACAAATCCCATGAAATCCTTTTGCATGGAATACACATCTGGGTTTACATTCTCTCACAGTATATTCATCTTGTATTCAGTATTAATGGTCTGCGATCCCCTGACTTAGCAGACCTCATTATAACTAAGAACCATACATTTAAACCATTTGCTGGTTGAAAAGCTTAGGGCAAGCTGTAGAGAAGAAAGCTGTTATAAAACAGAAAAGGAATTATATCATTAGATGCAGTCATACTGAAGGAGACCTCAGCAAGAGAGAATACATTGAAGAAAAGGAGTGGCTGTAGGAACAGGTGAAAGAGAAAAAGGAAGAGAAAGAAGTCAAAATTTTTTTTTTTGAATCCTGAGCTACAGTTGTTTCTGTCATCAGAGCTATAAGTACAAAATAACCCGTGTTAGACTCTGAAGCAGAATCTTACCAAAAACTTTAGATCAGAGATGCATTACTCCTCTTTTTGCTTTCCTTGTTCCTTTTATTTATATACTATAATTTGCAAATCATAGGCTTGTATGTAATTAGGACAGTCCGGTGCAGAGGCAGATACATAATGCAGATCTGGTTTGTGGCCCTGAGGTCACCTGCCCTTAGTGCAAATAACTTGAAAAAGGGATGTCTGTACTTTAAGGTGAGCTGAATCTATTAAAATTATGCTGATGCCTGGTAATTGTGACAAATCTACCTCACTCAAATCTATCAAACGTCTGTCAGAAGAAGTTGATTGGTCAGAGAATCTCTTGCTGAATGAATCACAGAGAGGTTGTTACTTTGTATGTTAAGACAACAATGTGGGTTTCAAAAGGAAGTTGTTCATTGCAGTTACAACTTGTTATACAGTGGTGCCTCGCTTAACGATTACCTCATTAAATGACGAATCCCTTGACGATGAGGTTTTTGTGATCACTTTTGCAATCACAAAATGATGTTTCAACGTGCGATTTTCATTTGACGATGATTTGTTTCCTGCTTCGGGAACCGATTCTTAGCATTATGATGATCTAAAAACAGCTGATCGTCTGGTTTCAAAATGGCCGCCCGCTGTGCCAAATGGCTCCCCGCTGTGATTAGGACAGATTTTTTGCTTAACAGGCACTGGAAAATGGCCACCCTATGGAGGATCTTCACTGGAAGATTAGGTATTTAGCCCATTGGAATGCATTGAGTGGTTTTCAATGCATTTCAATGGGTTTTCCCCGCTTGACGATGATTTCGCTCTACAGCAATTTCGCTGGAACGGATTAATGTCGTCAAGCGAGGCACCACTGTAGTTGGAATTAACACATGAAACTGCAATTATAATTTTGCCATGTAACCTTTTATTAATTTCAAATCTTTATTTCAATCCGTTCAAAATAGCATAATAGAACAATACGTATTGTGTTACAATACTAGTAAATTTCTTGTTCATAAACTCTTATACCTCCTTATACGCACACTGTTTACATTACTGTATCTATCTTTTCATATAGTCTCTTCCTTGGCTCATTGTTGCATGTTTATGTCTAGCTAATGCCACCATGGAACCATTATGCTTTATAAATAAACTACTTTATTACTTGTCTCAAAATCAAAACAGCTTGGAGCTCATGATTTGGGCTTAAGACTAGACCGGGGGGGGGCAGTTTAAAGGTGTTTAGTCAGGTTAGGCTGACCACAATAATGTACTTCATTGTCACAGTTTATTGAAAACCAGTATGGGGCCAGATTCAAACTTAAGGGATGGGGACTATGTGATTAGTTAGTTGTAGCCAATAAAGATATATGTGAGGGTGTCACCTTGAGTATCCCCCAGCAGGTTGTCTGGCCCTGCTCGACAAGCCCAGGGAACCCTGGAAGAAGGAAAGTTACCTGAGCTTCTAGCTGGCAGGAAATGTGCTCCTACAGGTGGAGGAAAGGCCAGTGATTGTTGTGAGGCAGCTGGGGAAGGGTGTAATGGCAGCAATAAGATGGCTGGAGTTGTAGGGCTCAGGGCTGTCAGCATGAGCCACATCAGATGGTAAGGGAAGATGTGGAACGAAGCAGTCGAGCATCTTCTGTGCCTCCGGAGAGGTGCAAATGGAGATAGAGGACAAGGGGAGCAATGGAAGGGGTCAGGGACCTAAGGCTCTGGCAACCCGACCATGCAACCTTGGCATCCTCTCCACCCAATGGAAATTGTGGAGCCTACCCCAGTCCAGCTTCAGTGCTGGCCATGCAGACAGCAACAGGCACTGCAAAAGAGGCTCTGGATGGAGCAGCACAGAGTCCAGTCCCCATCACTCACCTTTACCAGCTCCCCTTTAAAGGACTGCTCCCTGGATTAGGACTCATACCTCTCACCCATTTCTCTGGACCTGAACCTCTGGGACCCCAGTGAAATCAACTAGGGTTCCAGCTAGACTGACTGTGCCTAGGGAGTTAGTGCCAGAAACCCAACCCCCTGGGAACATGGGGGAAGAGGCAATAGGGACTGACTCTGCCTTTAATAAAAGTCACCATGAGTGATCAAACCAGGCTGGAACCCATGGAATCTTTGCCAGGAGACTTCTCAGTCATTGGACTCACAATAGAGCATATCAGTTGTGTTTTCCTGTAAGGTCAGCAACTAGTCAGTGCCCGTGCATGCCAATGGGGTGCTATAATTTTATGGTTCTCAGACGTCTTCAATGTTCACTTAAAGCTAAATGTGAATATAATTAATAACAAAAAGATTATTTGATAAAATAATGTACCTAATTCACACAGTTCACCTTTGAATTTACCAATACATTCCATCCTTTCAGGACATTCACCAGTTACTGAATTACACTGGAATCCCCCATAACATTTCTTGCAGTCTGAGGCACAGTTATAACCATAGAAACCAAAGGAGCATTCTGTGTAAAACAAAAACAAAATTCAGAAACACTTCAGAGTGTGGAACAATTGTTGTGTCATCATCTCACCATGAATACACCTGTCATATAATTTTGAGGGCCAAGCAGTATGAGGCCTGCTGAGTACATGAATGGGAGACTACATAGGAACATGGACATCTCCAGACAGAGCAAGAAATGAATCCTGTCTGAAACTTTGGTGCGTCATTACAGGCCAGAGGTCATCCCTGGGCTAGATCAGTGGCTCCCGACATTGTGTAACCCAGGTGTTCTTGGACTGCAACTCCCAGAAACTCCGGCCGGCACAACTGCTGGTCAAGGCTTCAGGATTTTGCAGTCCAAGAAAACTTGGGATACCCAAGACTGGGAACCACTGAGATAGGTGAACCAAGAAAAGACAGGTTTCTATGTAATATAAATTCTGTAATATATATGAGAAATGCCATCCTGATACAGAATTTGGATTTTGACCTAACAAAATAAGGAAACCAAATGACAGCTACTCCATGAGATCACTTCTGCTACAAAAGTGGTCATACATATTCAATGTAGCATTGAATATCTAGAATCTCATTCTGAAGGTAATAAAAAGTTTATAGGAATAAAGCTCCATAAAGTTATCTAATCCCTTTTAAAGGCCATTGAAGCTGGAAATCACCACCAAACCTCCCACTATTTAGCTTTATTAGATTTATATTACGAGAAAAAGAAGCGGGCAAATTCTCACATTTTGTACCATGTCATGTGTAATTTAATACAGCTCTTCATGTTCCTTGCTTACTTTTGTTTTTAAGACAAAAAGCTCCATAGGGCTTTGTTTATAAAGCAATTAACCCAGCTTTTATTATTTGGGTTGCCCTCCTGTACACAGTATTGACAAAGGGTGGTATTGATAGAAAGACAGTTGTCTCTTCTGATACTGTGACTTGTAGAACCTGTAGTCATCCTGTGAAGCTGAATGATGAGAGATTCATAACAGATTAAAGGAAATGCTTCACATAAGATGGAAACTATGGAATTCACTACCACAATATGGGGTAATATTGTGCCAATTTGAACAGCTTTAAGATGACATTAAACAAGTGATATAGAGTAGTACTATCAATCACTGTTAATAACAGCATCTCCCAGTATCAATTGCTAGGGAACATGAAGTAGGTGCAGATGTGCTCCCAATCATCTTGGGAGCTTCAAGAAATTTCTAGAATGTTAGACCAGATATGCCTTTGGCCTCATCTAGCAGTGCTGTTCTAAAACTCTTATGAGTTTAAACTTCCACAGGAACAGGCAGAGCTTTGACCAGGAAAAAGATCTAAGTCTAAAGAATACAGTAGATGTACTTTTCACAGTTAAAGTTTTAAAAATTAAATTAAAATAAAAATGAATATGAAAGCATGTTAAATAAATTTAAACTTTCCTAAATAGTTTTGCAATGGGAATATATCTGAAAAGTCCTCTCTTGTCATTTCAAGCACAAGAATGTACCTCGTCTTACATAAGACGTTGCCGTTTCCTTATCAGCAATAATTGTATTAATGCCGCTTGTTCTTCTGAAGTATTGGTAATCCTGCACTATCCCAGTGCACTTTGAATCACTTAAGCAATCTGTGACAGCATTAGAAATGGAGGTGTAAAACATTGGTTCTAATGGTCCTGACAAAAACTGGTCGAGATAGACATCAAAAAGATCATTCACTGAGTGGAAGAGAAAAAACAAAATAAATATTGTGCAGTCTAACACAAAGTTACTTTGATAATTTTTAGGTACATTTCATATTATATTCCTTTTACTTTACTATGTCATTTTGCATGAATTGCCTTCTATAGCTTTCTTCTTTTTTTACACAGATCCTTTAATAGTTGGCAAGTATACACAGTACACAGAATTGCCTGCTTTGAGATACTATATCATTTTTCCCTTTTTCTTTTTTAGGAACATGAGCCCATATCAACTAGCAGCATAAATTAGGCAAGCAAATTGACTTTCTATTATAAATAATAAAATTATAGGACAATAAACACATAACTAACAATGAAGAACAACAATGTTATAGTTAAAATTCAATGTTTGTTCCAGAGGAGGACCACATAATGAATTCTGAGAGATTTATATAGTTTTTTAAATGACAACAGGGTGGTTCCCAGGGTCAGACAATCTTTATTTGTATCAGAGCACTGCACGATTTAAAATTATGGACATATATGACATATAGGCAACATTAAAACAAATTAATATGTAAAAATAATTTTTGACCAGATGTGGACTAATTCAACAAATTATGGACATATATGACATATAGGTAACATTAAAACAAATTAATATGTATTTTGACCAGATGTGGACTAATTCAATATCATTATCTCGCCCATTTGCTAGTTCTTCATTCGCTAAATCTTCTTTTGCATGCACATTAAATTTCTTCACAGTCATAGACTCTGTCCTATATCCAAAGAGCCTCATTTTACTTGATTATTCTCTGATCTCCCTACTTTGCTTCAAAGTTTATTAACTGAATTCCAGATGATTCAGTTAGAGCAGTAGTTCCCAAATTTGGGTCCCCAAATGTTCTTGAACTACATGTGCAAAAATCCTGGCCAGGCTTTTGAGAGTTTTAGTTTTAGATTATTAAATGGGTAGAAGGAACTAGTAGAGATGGAAGGAACAACTGTGCCCCTAGGAACCCTAGAAGATGGGCATGTGTAAAAATAAATACATAAAAATGAAGGTCCTAATCTGCTACCTTCAAGGATTAAGCAGAGGCTATTCTTACAGCCTGAGAAGCTAATCTCAAGAAACGCTTTCAATGGGGATGAAAGCAAAAACAGGACCTCACTGGTTTCCAAGTTTGCAAAAATTGCTGCTATGGCTGAAGAATTTTGGATGAAACCTTGATATTACTGAGGAGGGGAAAGGTGTGGTTGAATCATAATAAATATTTATTCAATATATGTATATTCTTATATTAAACTTGAAAAATAACTTTTGAAGTAAACTGGAACAAGTTCTTCTCTATGCTGAGGAATATTTTTGGGAAAATATCCTTTCCTACTCACTGGCCCCTTTAGATTCAGTCCTTGCACAAGTCCTAAAGATGTGTCCCCTTTAGTCCCTTTGTGAAAAAGTTACATTTCCAGAGATAATAGCCATGTTAGTTTGCTGCTGCAAAAATAAGAAAGAATCTTGTGGCATATAAAGTTTTATTTGGCATAAGCTTTGCTGGACTGCAGTCCACTTCATCAGGTGAATTCTCTTAAACGGATCTGTGGCACTCTGGTTTAGCAGTCTGGTACTTCTCTTAGATTCTAGAAGGGTGTTTTTTTTTTTTTGTTAGCATAACAGGTAAAGGAGGATTTGAGAACTGATAAGATACTTAGTGGGCTCAAGAGCACCTGGATATTCTAGGTAGGCAGTTCATAAGTTCTTGTTTGACCCCAAGAACCCTTCATTTCATTTGGTTGTATATATTACAGATGGGGCTTCTGATCTTTTGGGTATTTAAGAACTGTCTAATTCCAGTTTTTTAGATTATTGCTATGGCATGAATAAAATAGTATCTTCCTCTAAGATGGATAGGAATTACTTGTTGGAATCCCAAAGTACAGGAGTGATGAATGAATTAAACATTATGCATGTACCTGCGTTTGTAAGAATTTGCTTATGCCTATAAACATTTTATCTTTTGTTATAAAGAAGAATGGTAAGAGCCTGGATTTTACACCTTTAATACTCACTTGTATACTACAGGATTCAGATACCAGTACCATTTTGTGCATGTGATAAAGGATTTAACACAACTGTGTACCTCTCCATGTATAGTGGTAAATACTCATTAACCAAGACAAAGTGCATTAACATGGTTATTATTGAAATCAAGAGCAACACAGATTGTTTTAATAAAAAGGAATTTGTCTCCTTTAGATTCGAAACTCCGCTATGCAGTTTACCTTCTTTTCTCTTACAAATCCATCGGTGTTTTTCACTACAATTTAGACTCAAAGCAATATAGTTAGATAAATCAAGACCAATACATCGTCCCGATGGGCTTCCATTAAATTTCAACCTGAATGCAAAAATACATGAGGCATAAATTACTAGAATTATGGTTGTGCTTATTTTCATGTAATACTAGCAAATATGCTCAGTTTTGCATTGGCTGGAATAGGTTTTTTTTTTTGTTTCAAACACCAAAGTATTCCAGTAAAGTTATTAAAATGACACCATTGGACATACTGTGCCCATTTTGTCTGAATGAAGCCAAGGCTGCAGGGATCCCTAGGCATATCCAAAGCCATGATGCAACCACACTGCTCCCAACAGGGGTCTGCCCACTTTATGTCCAAGAGGAGAAGCCTCCCCACATTGAGAAGGCCTGCCTGGCAGCAAAGGGGAGAGGACATAATTTAGCAGTCTCCTTTCAAGTTTATCTCCCTGAGCTGACTACGAAGCTATGTGCTGCTTTGGGAAGTCTTCTACCTACATTAGTACTACAAGCATCAAACACATTTAAAACGGAGCTGATCAATCAGTTAATGTGTCTTTAAAAGCTAGAACAGCACCAGTTATACAACCCTAGAGGCCCGTTAGTATGAATGGTGTGTTGAAACTATTTAGAATGTATGTATCTGACAGACACAGATGTTCTTTTATTACAGTCGATACAGCTCCTTCATCACCAAAGACAGTTATATGCTGAATCGTAATAAACGGTTTACAGGTAGTTTATAAAACAGACATTAAAACACACACACCAGATAAGAACAATCAAGAGAAAAACTCCACAAGAGTACAGAAGCAAAAATGCAGTGCAGCAACAAATGAAACAGTCCAGCTAAAAGCTTATTTCTCCAGAATTCTAACTGGTCCTCGAAAGATCAAATCTTCTCCTCTAAGGTCACAGGCAGAGATCTGAGATCAAAGACAGACATCTGACTCCAATTGTCCCCACCCCTGCAGAAACGTCTGCTGTCTTTTTCTCTTTAGTTTCAAAAGTCTGTTACTGGGACCTGTGAAAAGAGGAGATGCTGGAGATACTGTATGTAGGTGGACCAGTAGAGTCTTAATTCAGTGGTCTGATGGTCCCTGATCAGGATCCCAATATATTAACAGGCCATGTTAAGGTTGCTGGGTCAGCAGCATCCATTCTCTGAGATTTCAGGGCCAAAATCCAAGACTCGGGTGCACGCCCTTGTCACGACACAGGGCTGGGACAGGCAAGGGGAGGTCCAATACCAGGGCTTGTTTAACAAAAGGCTCATGAACCATGATGGTGGTTCCTCTCTCTCTCTGCTTGTATCAAATGGCACAATCAGCCCAACATCAAGGTGCCAGAAAGCTGTAAGGATGGGAGCATTTGGACCCATCATGCCCTTTGGAGCAAAACATACACACACAAATACCTTCAAGATGAAATACCTTCAAGCTGAACTGGAGGTGGCTGAGAATGGGTGGAGTTGGGTCCCCGGGCATTAAAGTCACATTGCAAACAAAGCCAAAACATTCTTCTCCTCTAATCCCATTAATTATGAAATTCATCTTTGTGCCTGGCCAAGTGGAAAAGCATAGCTATTCCCTGAGACTTCAGCTATAGGCCTGACACCTGGCAACTGTAGTCTGAGTATGCTGACATGCAAGGTCAGGGACGAAGCAATTAAATACAGAATCATGCCTTTCCTAGATGCCTCAGTAGGAATGATTTTCCCTTTTTCAGTTGAAAAAATTATCAGAGGTGGGGAGGGGGCTCAGATGAGCCCTGGGGAACTTCACTGGCTAGGTACTTCCAAGGTCTCAGTGATTTCCCTTCCAATGAAAGAAATGAGAGCAAAATAGGAAATGCCGCCCTTTTCTAACTTCTGCCCAGACAGTAGGAGCCAGAAAAGTATTGGAAATCAGAGGCAGAGTTCTGTAGGTCAGTGGTTCTTAACCTTTGTTACTCGGATGTTTTTGAACTGCAACTCCCAGAAACCCCAGCCAGCACAGTTGGTGGTGAAGGCTTCTGGGAGTTGCAGTCCAAAACTCCTGAGTAACCCAAGGTTAAGAACCAGTGCTGTAGGTGACAGTAGGGTTGCTCTGTAAAAGAGACAGCAATGCATGTCTGGCCAAAGTCTTTATTTCAGCAATGCAAACATTATATTAATTTTTGTTCCAAAAATGCATTAGGGCTTATTTTCAGGGGATGTTTATATTTTTTTTTCATCTACAACAATCTAAATTTATTCAAATACAGCCATGTCATCTTTTTCTGGTTGCTGCACAATGATAGAGGGTAAGGTTTCACTTAACTGGTATTATTTTGGGGGCAGGGCTTATATTACGAGCATCCTGAAAAATCATACTAGGGCTTATTTTCAAGTTAGGTCTTATTTTCAGGGAAGCAGGGTATATGATAGAGGCCACGTGTTTCTGTGCCCACTCCCCACTTGCAATTAGAATGATATGACATACTCATATTTGTTGCCTGGAACAAATGTAACATTGGGGGTAAAATGTTTCTCAGTCTACGTATGTGTGCCAGAAGTAGAGAGCCAGAAGGTCTTTCAAGAGAGGAGGTCTAAAAGGTAGGTACTGCAATTGAGGAGATTGTTCAAGGTCATAATTCATAATCTAATTCAGAACAGCAGTATTGAAAGAGTTCAAAATTTCTGCTGTTTTGAAAAGAACATCTATCAATCCCTCACCCATTAACAAAAAGTACCAGTGTAGTTCTTTAGCTGCTGATTTACTGTCTGACCAAACCCATATAGATACTTGCTTCCTGCTATTCAATCCAGTCCAAAAAATTTCAGATGAATTTGCAGAGTAAATCCAGGTCTGCCAAAATAAAAGAGAGAGTGAACACTTTTTGGGGTGTAGTTTTCCTTTTGATGATTAGATTACTCTTACACTGAATTTTATAAAGTCAGCTTTTGTTGAAATAGGAAACATCTACATTATAAATTAGCCATGGAGTTCTTTAATAAAAAAAATACTGGAGTACAAGCTCTAAAAAAGTTCTTGGACTTCTAAAAAATACTGTATTTGCTGGCGTATAAGACTACTTTTTGCCCTGAAAAACATGCCTCCAAGTGTGTGGGGGGTTGTCTTATACACCGGGTGCACTTCAGTTGGGATAGACATAGCTGCCCATAGTGGCCTTCCACTATGGGCAGGCCTCCCGATGCTTGGCCACCTCATTCTACATACCGTCCAGTATTGGGCGGTATCCAGCATGGCCGCAGCGAGCATCAGCAGCGAGACAGGGGTGCCAGCCATTTCGACGTGACCGGCCTGTTCTGTTTGGTGGGAAGCAGTGGGGTGCCAGCCATTTCGACGTGACCGGCCCGTTCTGTTCGGTGGGAAGCAGTGGCACTCTGGCCCGCCCTTTGTCTACGCAGAGCTCACACATGCGTACTTGCGCACTAGTGCCGGTCACAGGGAGATGCAGGGGCCGGCCAGAGGTGCTGCAGTCATGCTGTGGCCGTACAATGGTGACAATGAATAGCACCTTTTATTTGGTGTGTGGAATATGTGCAGAAGAGGGGGTAGTCTTATACGGCGAGTATATAACAAACTCTATATTTTGAGTGGAAATGCTGGGGGGTCGTCCTATATGCCCAGTCGTCTTATACACCGGCAAATACGAGTACCCCAAGTCTTCTCCCTATCCCTATCCCTATCATGGGAAGAGCTTATTCCTCTACCGCCCAGTCATCTTATACGCCGGCAAATACTAGTGCCCCAAGTCTTCTCCCTATACCTATCATGGGAAGAGCTTATTCCTCTAGCCTGGCAGAACCTGAATCAGGTTGGTATACCTGCAGCAAAGCAGCAAGTACTATTCAGAAGGACTTTGGTTACTGGAGGGGGAATTCTCTGTGCTACAACCTGGGCTTACCAATTATGGTGTCTTGCTTTAGTTAACTAGAGTATAGCAAATGGTGTATAGGAATGATGACAAGGGTGACTATGAGGGTGACTATGGTTGATGGTCAGGGAAATGAAAGAAAATGAGTAATGTTGATGAGAGGGAGGTTGTGAAGAAAGTAAGAAAAATGATGGTATGATTGGGATGAAAAACATGACCTGTAGGGATAATACCTTAACTATATATGTTTTTCATGTTAGGTTGTGCTGTCTTCTGTACATATCTGTTATTAACCCTAAATATTTTGATTCTGTTGTTTGTAGAATAAATCTATTCTTGCTTTTGAAAGAAATTGAAGAAGTGCACTAGTTTTCAGACAAACTCTCCATGGGTAGGCTTGAAGACCCCTTTCCTTCTGAGCAATATTTTTATGTTACCTAGGCTTCAAGCTTAGACTGAAGAGAGTAGGAAAAACCACTGGGCCACTCAGGTATAATCTAAACCAAATCCCTTATGAATACACAGTGGAAGTAAAAAACAGATTTAAGGAACTAGATTTGATGGACGGAGTGCCTGAAGAACTTTGGATAGAGGCTCGTAACATTGTACAGGAGGCAGCAACAAAAACCATCCCAAAGAAAAGGAAATGCAAGAAAGCAAAGTGGCTGTCCAATGAGGCCTTAGAAATAGCAGAGAGGAGAAGGGAAACAAAATGCAAGGGAGATAGGGAAAGTTACAGATAATTGAATGCTGACTTCCAAAGAATACCAAGGAGAGACAAGAGGGCCTTCTTAAATGAACAATGCAAAGAAATAGAGGAAAATAACAGAAAAGGAAAAACCAGAGATCTGTTCAGGAAAATTGGAGATATTAGAGGAACATTTTGTGCAAAGATGGACATGATAAAGGACAAAAATGGGAGGGACCTAACAGAAGCAGAAGGCATCAAGAAGAGGTGGCAAGAATACACAGAGGAATTATATCAGAAAGATGTGGATATCCCGGACAACCCAGACAATGTAGTTGCTGACCTTGAGCCAGACATCCTGGACAGTGAAGTCAAGTGGGCCTTAGAAAGCCTGGCTAACAACAAGGCCAGTGGAGGTGATGGCTTTCCAGTTGAACTATTTAAAATCTTGAAAGATGATGCTGTTAAGGTGCTACATTCAATATGCCAGCAAGTT